AAGGGTGTTTCGCCTACATTTTGAGGAAGAATTCACATAATTCTCATAAAATTTTGCATTAGACGTGAATCATGTTGTATACACTACAGGAAGCCTTAATAAATTGAAGGATGCGATGTATTATGAATGACCACCTCACAATCGTAAAATATCTCATAAGTAGAAATTTTCCTAAAGCTGAATGATACCCTTTCTTTAAGTATGAATTTTAAAGGAGGTGTAATTTGAAACCAAACGAGTACAAGAAAGAATTAGTTCGTATATGGTTCCCATAAAATATATTGAAAGTTATAATGGCAGTCGAAACCAATGATAAAAATGCATACTACTTAAGTTGTCATTTTCTTACAGGACATACTTTTCGATGGCAGTCAGAAAGAAGCTCGGTAAAATTTTGGCATCCTATTGCGACTGAAATGAATTCAGAATAGGCTACACTATAATCCGTATAATAACCTTACTCAATGCCGATTAACAAGAGTGCATCAATCTTTCGAAAATTTCTGCATGTTGTACGAATTCGGAGCCGTACTGTAGAACAATCTTTTAAGAAGCCACTTAACCGCCCGCTGACAGGAAGTCCCTAACGAAGCTGGCATGTTGATCCAAATGAATGGGTGGTAGGGGAGGCATGAGACCGTTGGTCAGGACGAGTATTAAATAAGGCAAGCCTATCAATAGAAACAACTTATGCTGAAACATAATGTTTTACCCTCTTCTTTAGCATTGGTTTGGTCTAATGCAAGCGGTTCTGCTGCTTTTGTGTCCGGCTTTGCCTCCAGATTGATTCCATTTGTGCACGCATTTGTGTCTTTCTGTTCTATACTCTGTTGCTGTGAACCGCCCGCCAACCCTGTGCCACCTTCGATCTCTTTGGGGTCTTTGAGCTGAGGGCTCCTATTCTGACCCAGAGTAGTGTCTTCTGTCTCACCGGTCTCTGCTACTCGAGTACTCTCTGCACTTTTTTGAATACTCTGAAGGTCTTCATCCGTCCACACTGCGTTTCCAAATGGCACAAGGAGCAGATGAATGTAGTCGTCGACGACTGTCATCTTACTGCACTGTATGTCGAACTTTCGTGCCAGTTTTCTGGACTCCCAGTAGAAGTACGTATAGGGGAAGATTGCACCGAAGGAGTCTGAGGAAACTGACCCCTCTGATGAGTGAAGCACTGACGACAGAGAGGCTCTAGAAGATCTGTCTGCTTCGCCTTCATTGGACTGTGCATAGGAGTCAGTTGTACAAACTAGTACAAGCAGGTATATTCGCAGGCCAGTTGCCCTCAGCCATATCTGTCCATTGCTGGGTTGTTGGATATCAGGAGCTCGTATCCATTCTCCGTTCTTGGATTCCTGCAAGAATTCCCCGTGCGGGTCTGTTGCTTGCCATAATGATATCGAGTCTGGTCGCTTTTGCTGAAGTGAAAAACTCTTCTTAGATCTAGCTTCTCTTGTCGGCGAGTGATCTTCCTTCGCGCGGACGCATGACATGAATTTAGAGGTCCATTTGCTTCCACTGGAGGATTTATTAGGCTTGCATTCATTCACTGGTTTTCTCAAGCCGGGCAAGTGCAGCCGAATGTGTAGCTGATTCTGATGCTTGCAGAGACCTTTAACCACCGCCGATATCCGAGTGACCTCCACGTTGTCTGGGGGTACTAGCGCAATAGATTGTTCAACATTGGGTTTTGTTGGGCCAGAAACACCTAACTGCAGTTCCATAGGACAAACATTTGACCAGGTGTGCGGCAACTTTCGCCAGCACCCTCGTGGATGAAAACCAGCTGTCGCGCCTGTTGTGGCTCTGGGAGTTAATCAATATTAGGGCGTGCTGCTAGCGGTATGACCTTGAGGATTCCGCGTCGAGAGCAACCAATCATCTTCAGCCGCTCATTCACCCACCTAACGTGCTTGGTGTAAATGTAGATGCAACGGCACAGTTGTCTATAGAAAGCGATATTTGCCGTCATGTCAATGTGAATTTTCGTTATATGCTTAGTCCGACATCTAGTCTGAAGAATTAAAGCCTCACAAAGGAGAACTTTTTCAAGGTAAATATGAGCAACTTTATTTACTGGTTATGCGTACACTACTAAGGATAAAGTTGCCCAGTTATTGAACCTCCTCGAAAAGGACAATAAAAAGCTGACTAGTAAGATGTTTGTGAATATAAATCATAGCTAAAAGTCTTTTTTACCCTGACCTCTTTTAGTAAACTCGGTTCTGTACGAGACGGCTCAATAAATTTTGCTAGTCTAACGATTTTCTCTAATGAACACTTTTTGCAAACCAGATGAAGGGTTTTCGTTTACTATCATCAACGAAAACAACAAATGTCCGAACGATTTAACTCTGACCAACACGCGCATTAGATAATGGTGAGGTGCTGTATGCAGCCAAACGCATGCACCAATATGACAAAAATTGTTTAACTCAATGATATGCATGTAAAATGTTGAGCATTTTACTGATTAGCCTGATCCTATCCGTATAATGCGCTTTTGAATGCGGCGTATCTCTGTGAATAATGTTTTTTTTATCAAACGTTAACAGATAGGAGGAAAAATCAATGTTACTCATAAAGAGGAAATTGCCTGTGCTAAGAGCTTTCCTGGGTAAAATTTTTGCGTCCATCCCAAACGGCACAATCAAACAAAATTCTTCGTCGTTTTCTCAAACGTATCTTAAAAGATGCCAAGGAGAAACGCTAGAATGAATTCTAGTGAAGCCGCCTCGGGCTCTTTGTTCTTTGACATGTTCTTTAACAGTCAACAAAATACTGGTTAACACTATCGAAAAAAGGCCAGGGAGATGGAAATGGCCATTTCTAGCTTATTGGCCGTCATCAGCCAGCCATACCCAACCCCAAGTGTTGCGCCATCTGCACAACGGGCTCGTGGTCTTGTCGGTTTAGATCGGGTAGTCGGGCGCTGGCTATGGTTTAATTCGGTACAAATATCGCATTATTTCACCTGACGAGAGCAAACAACAGAAGCAAGAATCGTCAGTGTCCGGAATGAACGCAGCCTGACTCATCAAATCACTTTGATGGGACAATCGTTAGAAGTATTAA